AAGAGTTGACTAGCTGGGACGTCTGTAAGCAGAAATTGCGCTATCTATTTGGGAAACCCATCGGACGTCAAGTGGCCGCAAAGAAAGAGCTTGCGACTCGTGCCCAGACATCCACAGAGCCGTACATCACGTACATCCAGGACGTGTTGGCTTTGTAAGGACATGCTCGACGAGGACAGAGTCGGACACATCCTGAAAGGAATTGCAGATGACCCCTTCAATTTTCTCCTGTGCAAGGACTGCTCGACGGTGGAGTCGGTCATCGAAGCATGTCGTCGCTTCGAACAGGCAAAAAGTAGGCACATAGTTCACCGATTTGACTGCCTTCCCAACACGACGGCTACGTCCTCTTGCGAAGATTTGCCCACACTACACCAACCACCAGCGCCAGAAAACCTCACCAGAATAGTCCGTCGGGAACTCGGGGCTATGGCTCCCGCTATGTCTAGCGTCAGCGCGCCAGGACACAACCTCGATGCTGTTTCAATGATACAGGCCGTGGTTCGCCAAGAGATCGCGAATATGGGCATTTCGCCACCTCATCAAAATGCCCCTGCTACTTCCAGCTCGGCTCCAGTCGTTGCGGTTGCCACTCCAAACTGCACGTTCGCGCCACGACGAAACCCAGCTGAATGGCGCACTCATGATGATCGGCCCATATGTTTCACGTGCCGTCGGTTAGGACACATCGCTCGCCACTGCCGCAGTCGTTAGACCTCATCACCTCGACCGAGCTTCTATGACTGGCGGCCTCGCTATGAACCTGCACCTTATGCCCCGTCCTACCGTGCTGAGACAGGTGCAGAGCATAATCCAGAACGTCGGACCAACCGCTCGCCATCGCCCGTGCGTCGTCAGTCACGCTCGCCCCAACCCCGCCGTTCTCGGACTCCCTATGACCGTCGCTCGGAAAACTAGTCGGTGCAGCCCCCGGAGGTGACGCTGCATACACGACTCGGACTGCAAATCCTGTGATTACTCCCGACCAGCGGTGCAACCTCCTTACAATTCTCGTTGATGGTTTACCTATAACTGCTCTTATTGATACCGGTGCACAAATGTCTGTGATGAGCTCAGACCTCCGCCGCCGCCTCCAAAAAGTTCTGAACCCTGCGATTGCACCTACCGTTCGTACAGCGGATGGGAGAACTCCTGCTGTGCTTGGAATGTGCACTGCGCGATTAACAATTTCTGAGCATCAAACTTCACTTCTGTTCGCTGTACTGGAAAATTGCCCTCATGACCTCATCCTTGGACTCGACTTTCTGACTTCACACGCTGCGCTCATTGACTGTTCCAAAGGTCTTCTTCGGCTCGAACTACCATCCTTTTCGGAGACCGTCTCTACCAGCCCACCTCGTCTACGCTCTGTCGATTTCCTTAGACTTCCGCCGCAAGCCGCAGTCCAAGTGCAACTCTCGCCATATCCTGCAGTACCCGATGGTGATTATGTTGCTGCCCCAATTTCTGACGTCGCCATGACACGCAACGTTGCACTCCCCAACACGGTGGTTACCGTTAAGGACAACCAAACTTCGTTTCCCGTCCTCAATTTCGGCCTCTCAGCGCAAGTTATTCCTCGCAACATGTCGCTTGCGCATCTTACACCACTGGTCGACTACACAGTTTCGGCTCTAACCACCGATTCGCCACCCAATTTTTCAACAACGTCGTTCTCGTCACGTTCCTGTTCCGACCTTTTCAAGCCAATGCTATCTGACACGCTCACCTCTGAACAAGTCTCTTCTTTCTGCCGTGTGCTTGCTTCTTATCAGGACATCTTTGACTTCGGCGACTGTAATTTGGGCCAGACATCTGTGGTAACCCATCGCATCGACACCGGTGACGCTCGACCCATTCGCCGACGACCCTACCGTGTGTCAGCCCCGGAGCGTGCTATTATACAGCGAGAAGTCGATAAAATTCTTGATAAGGGCATAATCGAACCCTCATCTAGTCCCTGGTCCTCACCCGCTGTACTTGTTAAAAAGAAGGACAATAGCTGGAGATTCTGTGTTGATTACCGCCATCTCAACCATATTACCAAGAAAGATGTCTATTCCCTACCGCGCATAGATGATGCACTCGATTGCTTGCACGGTGCCAAATATTTCTCTTCAATAGACCTTCGCTCAGGCTACTGGCAGATCGCTGTGGACGACAAAGACAGAGAGAAGACGGCCTTCGTGACTCCTGATGGACTTTATCGGTTCAAGATGATGCCTTTTAAATTATGCAATGCCCCCGCGACATTTGAGCGCATGATGGACTCTCTCCTTCGAGACATGAAGTGGACCATCTGCCTCTGCTATCTTGACGACGTTATTGTTTTTTCGACTACTTTTGACGACCATCTTACCCGTCTGTCCGCAGTGCTTGATGTTTTTCGACGTGCCAACTTGCAACTTAACTCATCCAAATGCCGCTTTGGGCAACGCCAAATCTGCTTACTCGGCCATCTTGTTAACGCTGCGGGCGTTCAACCAGACCCTGCAAAAGTCTGAGCAGTTCGCGACTTCCCCACACCCCGCTCAGCCAAGGACGTCCGAAGTTTTTTGGGACTGTGCTCCTATTTCCGTCGTTTTGTCGAGAAGTTTGCTGAAGTAGCCCGTCCTCCAACCTGCCTCCTCAAAACGGATGTCGCATTCACCTGGGGCCAACAGCAAGCAAACGCCTTCTCGTCGCTCGTTGACATTCTCACCAATCCACCAGTCCTAGCACACTTCGACCCATCTGCCGCCACGGAGCTTCGTACTGACGCCAGTGGCCACGGCATAGGCGCAGTGCTCACACAGCGGCAACAAGGCATGCACCGCGTCGTCGCGTATGCAAGCCGACTGTTGTCGCGCTCGGAACAAAATTATTCCATCACAGAACGCGAGTGCTTAGCTCTCGTCTGAGCCATTGCGAAATTCCAACCGTACCTGTATGGCCGACCATTCTCGGTTATTACCGACCACCATGCGCTTTGCTGGCTCTCCTCACTCAAGGACCCTACGGGACGCCTTGGTCGCTGGGCGCTGCGCTTACAAGAGTAACATTTTTCCGTATCCCATAAATCCGGACAACTTCACAAGGATGCCGACTGCTTGTCCCGTTACCCAGTCGATCCTCCTGACACGTGGGAAGATGAGCAAGAGGCCCTCGTTCTTTCAAATACCGACTTCACCGACATAGCAGCTGAACAACGCCGCAACCCCTCTTTGCGTGCGATTATCAATGGTCTGCACTCTCCCCACCCTGACCACTCCTTACAACTGTTCGTTCTTGAAAACGACATCTTGCAGCGCTACAACACCCGCCCTGATGGTGCTGAGCTTTTACTCGTTGTTCCTGTGCATCTTCGCTCAGACGTTTTGGCCCAGCTGCATGATGCCCCCTCCGCTGGACACCTAGGGGTGTCACGCACGTATGACCGCATTCGCCGCCGATTCTTTTGGCCTGGCCTCTACCGTTCTGTGCGACAGTACATTGCGGCATGCGACCTCTGCCAGCGCTGCAAGACACCTGCTCTGAGACCTGCTGGTACCCTCCAGCCCATTGAAGTACCAGAAGAGCCATTTTCCCGAGTCGGCCTCGATCTTCTAGGACCCTTTCCTGTCTCGGCCACCGGTAATAAGTGGATTGCTATTGCTACCGACTACGCAACGCGGTATGCCGTTGCACGCGCCCTCCACACCAGCTGCGCTACTGATGTAGCTGATTTCCTTCTTCATGACATCATTTTGCGTCATGGTGCTCCCCGTCAGTTGATCACCGACCGCGGCAGCTGTTTTCTATCTAAAGTAGTCGACGAGCTCCTGCGATCCTGCTCTACCCACCACAAGTTCACTACAGCGTACCATCCGCAAACCAACGGCCTCACGGAACGCCTCAACCGTACCCTGACGAATATGTTAGCGATGTACGTCTCCAAGGATCACAAAAATTGGGACATCCATTTACCTTTCGTTATTTTCGCATACAACAGTTCACGTCATGATACAGCTGCATTCCCTCTTTTTATCTACTGTTTGGTTATGACCCGCCTTTACCCATGGACACCATGCTCCAATCTGACGCCCCCTCATCGACTGCTTATGCTCGTGATGCCCTGGCCCGAGCTGACATCGCCTGCCAAGTCGCCCGGGATCGGTTATGGGACTCGCAGCTTAAACAAAAGAGTGCTTACGATCGCAGGCATCGCGACGTACAGGGGTCACTCTCCGGGGTCACTCGTTTTGCTGTGGTAACCATCACGTCGTGTTGGTCTCTGCGAAAAACTAATGTCCCGTTACGTTGGCCTCTACCTCGTCATACGCAAGGTCACCAGCGTGACCTATGAGATAGCTCCACTCCATACCACGTCAGTACCAGCTTCAGTCCCGACCGATATAGTGCACGTCTCACGGCTTAAGCCATACTTCTCACGCCACGAGAATTGATCGCACCGGGACGGTGCTTTTGCCGTCGGCGGGTAATGTCACGGGCTAAGTAGATGCCTGAGGATGACGACGACGAAGTGCTGAACGCGAACGTGCTCGGACTGCAGCAGCGTCGTACGCATTAGCTCGCCAGTATATTCGCCAGTACGAATTTGCTCACCAGTGTATACTTTATTCCCCGTAACATTATTTTGCAACATAAAACTATAATTTGTCACCTTCATCAACTCCTTCTCTTCCTTTGAGTTTAATCTTAGAGGCTTTTTATTAGTGTAAATGCTGATTCATTTTGCTTGTTCCTATTCGTATTGTATATAGTTGACCCTTTAGTATTTGCAGCCCATTCTGAAATTACTCATCAAGGCTGCACCATGTACAAATAATAAATAAGTGTACAGTACATGTTCTGGTAGATTCTTGGGCAGTAGCAAGAGAGCGTTAAGAAGTGAGGAATTCACTGTAACACCATGAAATGTTACCTATATATGGCTCATGGTACGGCTTCGCACAAGCAGGTTGCTAATGGATCAGATATCTAGAGGCTACTTTTCTTAAACCTACAGCACCCACCTTTCTACACTTCATCAAGTGTATGAGGTAGAGACACGTCTTTACCTAATGCTGGCTGTCGTACGGACATATCAGCATAAGTTCCTTTTGCACTTGGTTTCTGGCGTATGTCTGAAACGAAGCAACAAATAGACAGCATAAGTGTATTTCTGGGTGTGGCGAATGTCTTGGGTAGGAGGAAAAGGTAAAACTGTTTTGCACGTCGTGTTCTGGCACACACGTCCCAGCTTCACTTGCTCGACTCCACGGCGCAATGCATTCATGAGTTCCTGTACATGCACTATTTGGGCAGCCTGTTCAGATGTGACCTTATTGGTTTAATCTTATTCCTATCAACATACTGCAGCCGTATCTCAACTTTTCTCCGTTTTCGATTGTTGGTGGCATAGATCAAGCATTTCTTTAATTCGCTCGCTACGATCTGCACCTTCTTGTTTGTTTTAAATGCAAATGCATTTCTCAGTCGGGTTATGTCAGGCACTCTCGCCGCAGTGGTCTAGTGGCTAAGGTACTCGACTGCTGACCCACAGGTCGCGGGTTCGAATCCTGGTTGCGACGGCTGCATTTCCGACGAAGGCGAAAATGTTCTAGGCCCGTGTTCTCAGATTTGGGTGCTTGTTAAAAAACCCCAGAAGGTCAAAATTTCATGAGCCCTCCACTACCGCGTCTCTCATAATCATATAGTGGTTTTGGGACCTTAAACCCCACATATCTATCAGTCAGGGTTATGTCAGGTTTTGGCGTTGTTCGCAGCGGCCGAGGTGCCACTTTCACTCTTCGCTCACTTCCTTTCACTTATCAACAGCTGTGGGCGCGCACGCTTATCCTCGCCCCTAGAAATTAGAACATGGGGTGCGAGAATCTAGGAGAGGGTAGGTGCAGTGCTTCACAGCTCCTTCTCTCAGACTTAGCTGTCTCTCTTCCCTGTGCCCCACATTCCCCTCCGGTCATGGCTCTCTCGACCATACGCCGGCTAGACACCTCTCAAGAGTATACGAAAATGTTTGTTGTAGACGCCGTTGTGAAACGCCAACCCCGAGCCGAACGCAGTTTGTTTTAACGCTAAAGCATTAAAGAGCTCGTGTCACGGAAATTCCGCAGTTGGTGCTGGCACAGTTGGTTGAATGCAATGAAAGGTGACTGGAACAACCGAGCGAGCCAGCGCTCCTGGCTCGTGCCCGTCGCCCCTTCTTCCTCCTTTATTTGCCACAAGCATTTCCTCCGCGGAGAGGTCCTTCCCATCTACTTCATCAACGTGGCAGGTGACGCCCGCTCGAGGTTTGAAACGCCTACGGCGCCGGGGCTACGGTCGCCAGTGGGAGCAAACGCATGTAACATCGGCTCCGTCGATTTGTGAATGTTTCCGGAGGTTTTCTAACTATACCCTTGAAAGTGGCACACCATCGGACAGATGAAGTCATCGCGAACCCACGGATACTAGCTTTTTAAGTGAGCGTGAGCTTTACGAGTTTTAAGGCTCGTAAACTACAAGAACTATACGAGTGAGCTTCTAGGCCTAATGGTGGTTGGGCCTAGCGCATACCGCGTCTAACTCGAAGACTGAAAGAACAGCCGAGATGGATGTAGACGAGGCAGGGACAGGGGAAGCCACGAACCACGGACCACAGAACTGAACAAACAAGAAGCGTTTCCACGGGTGAAGACGAAGACGCTGACGGCGTTGCAGATGGCTGGATTGAAGTTACACGAAAAAAAAAGAGGACGCGCGAGCCAAAACAAGGTAGTGAGACAAGAAGACGCTCGTTCACCAAGCTTGATGCGTCAAGGCGGTCGAAGCATTGTCAGCAAGGTTCTACGAGCAAGCAAGATGCCCAGACTGCCCAGGGACGATATCAAGGTAATTTTTCGACCGAGGGATGGGCTAAATATAAGGAGCACGTGCGGTGCGAGTCTTGATGAGGCGATACGCAACGGAGCAGGAGTGGGCGACGAGAGATGATCACGATCTGCCCCAACCCCACGCAAAGCATTTTGGTGATAAGCACACCAGAGGAAAGCACAGCGACGAAAATCGCCAAGATGAAGGTTTTGACTATCAACGAAAAGAGGTACAAAACAAATGCATATGTTTCAGTGCCTGAGAATATGACAAAAGGAATCATACGCAATGTACCTCTTAATTATAATCAAGATCAGCTCGTGGAAGCACTGGTGAAAACAAGAAACCCCTCTCTAATGTATGCGAAGAGGCTTGGTAGTACGACAAACGTGATACTGCTCTATGAAGGAAACCGAGTACCTTCGTGGGTTTACTTCAACAGCGTTATGATAAGAGTATCTTTGTACCGGAAAAAGATAGACTTCTCCAAGGAATGTGGCAGGCTTGGACACAGACCCGACGTGTGCCCAAGACCCTATATCAAACTTTGCCCCATTTGTGGAGAAAAGAACCCCATCAATGGACACGAGTGTACGCCCCAGTGCCGAATATGTGATGAGGCGCACCCCACGGCTGACCGGATGTGCAAGGCCAAATACAAGGTGCCGCACATAGTGAAGCAGAGAAGGTGGAAGGCCAGGTTCAAAGACTTTCAAGAGCGAACCCCGTCACCATCGGATAGCAATGCTGGTGCGGTGGAAGGAGGCCGCCCTAGTCGCTCGAGATCCAGAACCCGCTCCCAACAGGTCATGGGTCCTTCAACCAGACCCGGATCCCCCTCGCCGGTAAAAAGACAGAGCAAAAGTCGTAGTACGAGCCGAAGTCACAGTCGGAGCAGAAGCCGCAGCGAGAACCGACACCACCCCCAACAAGACATAGGAAGGGCCACACCTGGCGGGAAACAGAAAGGGCCGCGCAACATCACCTGGCGTGACATAGTCACGGGAACAAAGGCAGACTCCGCACAGGGGCACCCTCTCTCTGGCCGCCCGCGGACAGCCGCCGACCTCGGCCTGGCAGCGAGGATGGAGAACACGGAGAAAGAGAATAGGGAGCTTAGACAAGAGTTGGCCAAGGCCGGAAAGCAGAATGAAAAATGAACGCGGAAATTTGAGGAGCTAAAACAGACACTGAACGAAATCCTCAAGCGAATGGGAGGACACCCCGCAGAGACCCCATCCTCTGGCGCCTCCTCGTCCCATGGAGCTGCTGATGAACGCGACACAACTTCAGCAGTAGGAGACGGGGACACGGACATGGGCTGTGGAAGTGAATATGAAGCGCCGGTGACGGTGGGCTATCAGCATAAGAGCCCAAGCGATTCTCCACATTCTGAAGTCGCTGAAAATCACATGCGAGAACCGAAGCGGGCAGGACCGGCAGGCCGAAAGATAGACGTGATCGAAGAAATGGTAGATAAACTAACCAACAAGACAGAGCGACTGTTTGAGACGCTCCTCATTCGGCTGAACGAGTCTGACGCCGAAAGGAACGCACAGTATGCCACGGTCAATAACCAACTTGCGGCCGTGAATAAGCGCATCGAGTATTTGGAACGCGAGACGGCGCAGTTACAACAACAGGGACAAGGCCACGACGGATTGAGAGGGGACGCATCGACCATTCTCAACAGAAGCAGCAATGTCAACACCACCCACACTGAAAAAGGAGGGACGCACGGACAGTCGCGTTACCCCGCCTTTGAATAGCAACCATGGCTGCCTCCCGCAAGTTTGTCGGCAGACGCACCGTCTGGCAATGGAACTGTAGGGGTTTCAAAAACAAAAAAGCTACAATGGTGCAATATATGAATACTCTCTCGTAAAGCAAACTTCCCGACGTGATTGCTTTGCAAGAACCTTTCGACTGGGCTCCGCTACCAGGCTATGTGACATGTGGCTCTCCGTGTGAATGAACGCGGAAGGACATAAAGGTGTGTACCCTAGTTAAGAGAGAGACGGCCTTTATCGAACATTCACTTGATATCAGGAAGGAGTCGGACATAGACCACAACCTGATTGAGGTCGTGCCCAGCATTGGAAACGGGAAGACCGGCCGATTCGTGCTTAACGTGTACAGCCCCCCTTCAAAAAGGGGCCTCACGCACAACTTTGGCGCCCTTTTTCGCGAAGCGATGGCGAAGGCCGCCTCCAGTCCCCTTTTAATCTGCGGAGACTTCAATGCACCGCACACGCAATGGGGATATGGCGCCGACTCGCCCAAAGGGAAGAGGCTAGCCGAACTGATGGACGAGCTTGGCTTGGTTCTACTCAATGAACCGGCATAGCACACCTGGATCGCACAGGGCGCGTGCCGCGACACGTCCCCAGATCTCTCCATTTGGTCAGACGTGGGCGCGATCACCTGGTCGAACACCTTTGAGAATCTGGGGAGTGACCACAGAGTATTGTGCATGACAATGGGAGAGGATAGAGGCAAAATGGACGGCTGCCAAAAAGCTGAAGTCGTGGACTGGGACAAGTTTGGAGAGCAAAGAGAACGAGAGAAGCAGGAAGGGCCGATCGAGGATATTGGGGAATGGTACAGGGAACTACTCGCGGACGTAGAAAAAGCTACAAAAGAAACATTCAGAATGATTATTCAGAATGATTACATTCAGAATGATTATTCCAAAGAAACTCTCCGCAAGCGAAAACTTCTCTGGGAGTCGGCACGCAAGGATAAGGATGAAGGGCTGGATCCAAAACTTTATGACGATAAACTTAAAATTAATGACGAAACATATGTTTGGGATGATTTAACAGGTAGACGAATGAAGCTCATATTGTCCCCCGCGCAGTCGCAGTCGAAGTGACATGATCCCGGCAGCGATTCTTATCGCAACAGGCTCGTTGTATTGAATATGAATGCCCAAAGTGTTGTCAATAAATCCCAATCCCTGGAAATTGCATTACTTGTGCACAACCCCGACGTAGCAGTAATAACTGAGACTTGGTTAACCAGCGATATCACTGACGACTGCGTCTTTCCTTTATCGTTTTCGGTCTTGAGACGTGAACGTGGTTCACGAGGGGGGTGTGTGGCTGTTCTGTTAAAGAAAAATGTGAAAGCTGTGGTTTTAAATCAAATAGAAGACCACGAAAGCCTACTTCTCAAGATAACATTTTCTAGTTTTACTTTCGTCCTATGTGCGCTGTACAGACCTCCCAGTTCTGATTCTTCTTATTTGCGAAAGCTCCAAGATCATCTG